GCAACTCAGAGAGCTAGCTACCTGGGAAGATTTTCTCCTTCAGCAACTTTAAAAGGTGGCGTTGACAGTGAAGATCTTCGTTTCTCCTGGCAAGAGAGAAGTGAAAATGACAGAAAAGAGAGAGGGTCCTATGAGCAAGAAAAAAAAATAGAGTTGGACCAAGAGGCTCAGGGAGGCTCTCTGCCAAGGGCAGAGGAAAGAATAGTCCCCTCCCTTCTCTACTCTCTGCTCYATGCTAATTCTGGCTGGTTGCTCAAGTGGGCTGTACCTTCCTATGGGTACAGGAGTGATTTTAGAGGTCATTAGGGTCTCCTACTCTGTGATTCTCAGGATGAAATCTGGGAATGAGAGTGGCAGTCTGCATTTGAGAGGTCATCCTGGAAAGGTGAGAGAAGAGGCCACAAGATAGTGTGGTGTATTGGCACTGTCATCATTAAGGTGTACCTCAAGTACTGCTTCACACTTCCCAGGAAAACATATTATCCAAACAGGTAAAATTCTGATGACTCTTCTAAAGATGACTGTCTTATCTGTGTCAGGTAAATCATTTCCTCTGACCTGTCTGGGGAGGGATTCTATTTGGTATCCTCATGTCCATATCACATCTATACTAATATTTTTGCACAAAACCAATGTGTTTTATACATTAATTGAGGCTACAGTAATGTATTCTGGAGGATAATTATTACAAGGATTCCATTTTTTTTCCTGACACTAAACACAAAAAAATTTTTAAGTCACTGAATTTTCTACTCATAAATGACAAACAAGGTCATTTGTGAAATAAAGCTTCTTTTTTTTAAGATTTAAAAAATATTTGCATGTGCACAAGTTTGGTGTTTATTTTCAATCTGGTGATTTTGGCTTTTCCCTTATGTTATGGATGATGAATATTTAAATAGATTAAATTCTTATATTTTGATGTGTTTAGTTAAACCCTCCTTTTCTGAATGGTTCTGGATTTTTTTTTCCCCTCCAGAACTTCTATTTGAACATTTTCCTTTCCTCTGCTCATTATACTAGTTTAGATATATTCAAATCAGATCTACTAACAAATGCTATACCAGAAACCCCAAGTTATTAATGGCTTTCAAGTGTTTACCTAATATGGGATCAACTATAATCATTCTGCAAGTCATCTGCAAAAATGTAAGCAGTATCTTTAGTAAAAGTATATTTTGTTAGCAGAGGGTGGTGGTGCACACCTGTAATCCCAGTGACTTGGGAGGCTGCAGCAGGGGGATCTCAAATTCTAGGCTGATCAGGGCAATTTATTGAGACTAAAAAAATTGCAAAATGAAATTTGACAGCAATTTAATTTTACCATGAATTTATAAGTGTCACTAAATTTAGTGCAACTAAATCTTTAATGAGTTCACCAACTCATTTTCACCAAAGTTCTTCAACTGAGTTCMCACATCTTCTAACTAATAAAATGACAAGTCAAATCCTCATTTCCTGGGTGKCTTTTCATCTTATGATGGCCATCGACCCATGAGGATCTTTCTGAGACTGACTCATGTGACTYCATCTACAACTATTTAGTTCTTCCAAATGGTCCTATTTTTTWAAAAATATTTCTTTATTTATTTTAGTTTTCAGTGGACACAACATCTTTGTATGTGGTGTTGAGGATCGAACCCGGGCCGCATGCATGCCAGTCGAGCGCGCTACCGCTTGAGCCACATCCCCAGCCCCAGAAATGGTCCTATTTTTATTGGAGATTATTTACTATGTCTGGAATCCCAATGCTTGATGTCTTTAATGAGAAAACATAATACAAAAAAAATTTCAGTGTTCAGCCAACACAAATTTATGTGATCAACAAAAGAATGTTTTCAGATCTTCGGCTTGATTGTTTTTGTTTCTGATGTGACAGATTTGCTGAACAAAGTTACAAATCCCTTCTTTCTCTCCAGTCTTCATTACCCCCACCCAACACTCGCGCGCGCACACACACACACACACACATACACACACACACACACACACACACACACGCACACACGCACGCTCACAATAAGGTCCCATTTGACTGCTAACACAGTTCTAGGTTGCCAAGCTTTCCTGAGGGAAACTGACTCACACTAAGTACTCCTTTTTTTTCTTGGTATACTTTAAGTCACAAGTAATATTACTGAAGTTTTCAAAGCTTACAATGTTCCCTAGGAGTATCACAGTTGAGCAGGTGAAAAAAAAATATCTGGAAGTTTATTATTTTTCCACCAATATATTTGACACCACCTTTGGAGAGTGAACAAAAGGCATACTGTCAAGCGGATAGACCTGGACAAAATGTTACTGTTTGTTCCTCACAAGCACAGAGGTATATTTAAGCAAAGAAAGACATTCCATGCCTCTCCTGGGACTTCCTTCCTTCTGCTAAATTATACCAACATGTTCACACCACTGTGGTTCAGACTGTGCTGGAATTCAAACTGCAGACTCCTATTTGCCAATGCTTAAATACCACAAGCTATAAAAGTTCATATTAGAATTGAATTGGCTTTAAAATATCAGAGAACACATAGGAAAAAAAATGTGTATACACAGGAAATTACAGTAGAAGATATGGAAATAAGGAATGTCCTTGTTGGACAGATTCTATACTTCTACAACAAAGCCTCAAAGTCTCCAGAAGTCACCTGGCTTTGGATCATGTTTCAGATCCAGGCTCACTGACATTCATGAAACTTTTGGCAAACCAGGGCCAAGTTTCGAGCAAGGCTTGGTTAAAATACCTCTTTCATGTGGAATCTGTGTGTGAAGCTCAGTGGTTTTGGCTAGCTTTCACCTTGAGTTTCACATTCAAACAATCCGAAGTTTCAAAGTCAAATCAAGGGGTAAAAAGAAATGGGGAGAAGTGGGGAGCAACAAAATAGGGCAAGTAAATGGCTTGCCTAAGAATGGGATGTCTATCTACCATCTTGTGAAGGGTTTTACTCTGGAGCCCTTCCGTTTTGCAACTGAACTTGTACTGTAGCAAATCTGCACACAGTACCGCTGGACCAAGCCTCCTCAGTACTAAAGGGGAAGATTATTCTTAACCTCTCAAAAACTCCAGGGAAGCAGTAGAGCACCGTGCTCAAAATAATTGGGGAATTTAAAATACTGACTATAAAGAAATGTGATGATTGATATGCTCCTTCTAATGAAGTGGGTTTGGGAAATTCAAAAAATTCTGAGCATCTTTAGAATTTTCTACCATGTGAATTTAAATTCCATGGATCATCATGCATTTTCTCCTAAGGGTGGTGGGCAGGACTGCTCCCATAGCAGACTCCATAGCTCCACCCCTTGAAGTCTGGTCCTGTAGCCACTTGCTTTCTTCCTTTCTTAGCAAGGTGCAGGGTACAGGTTGCAGACTGTGTCACCTCTGTGGAGCCACAGTATGGGACTTAGTCTCCTGATAGGATTAGACTCATTTGGTCCCTAGCCTCCAACAAAATATTCAGGGACATTTTGGCCAGGAAATGTCAAACTCAGTGTGTGGCTGAAAACTTTAAAAATGCCCTGTGCTTGGATAGGAAAGCAAAGGCTAGCAGTCAAGTGTAGTAGTACACATGAGCTTTCTTTAAAATAATGAGAATATTTAAGAGATGTTTGAATGGACTAGTAAGTGCTACATTTTGCCCATTTTAGGGGGAAATATCTATCTATCTATCTATCTATCTATCTATCTATCTATCTATCTATCTATCTCATATATGTCTTATCCCTCACACAGCAAAAGACTCTTCTGGCTGCAGAAGTTTTTTTATTGTTTGTTTTTTTCTCTTTTTATTTTTCTTGTTCTTCCTTTTCTTTGTTGTTATTCAAAAGATCATTATGTCTTTAAGTGCATGTTTTCTTTTCAAATGTGGTCTGTGATACCAATAAACATCTTTGGGAAAAAAAAAGATCTCTGAACTCCAAGAACTTCAGTGCTCATTTWAAAAAAAAACAACAACAACAGTTAGGCCCAAAGGCACACTGTAATTTTGAGGACTTGGGTTCCATGTGCTGTCATCTGCAACTTGTTTTTTGACATCTGCCTGGAGGGGTGTAGCAAGTTGCCATAAAGTCTATGTAGTGAGAGAACTTTGCAGAAAACCCTTTCCTTTGAGTTGACACTTTTTATAGAAATAAAATCTAAGGCATAGCAGTGATCAGACGTAGCCAGTAGATTATTTGAATGAAATATTATCAAAGCATTAAATAAACAAACAAAAAAGTCTGTGGGGGGTGCTTTTTTACTGAACATAATAAAAACAATAAAAGTAAACGCTACGTTTGAAGTTAAAGTCCACAGATCAAAGTACTTTGCAAAATGTCAAGTGCAAGCATAAGAGGGGGGAGAARGGAAGCCCGGAAAACTATCTAAAATATTTCATTGTCACATTAGAGAAAATCCCAGCAAATGTACCTACCAAACAGCTTCAGTAAGATTCAGCTTAGGTAAGGAATCCCAAAACTAAATCACTTAAATTATACCAGAAGTATACAAAACAAAACAAAACATCAACAACAACAAAAAATCCCCCTTCCAAACCCCACTGTTTAATTCTGCACCAGCAATGAACAGCACCGTGATGAAAGAACACAACATACCTACCTCCTTGTCCTTAAAGAACAATTACTAATATATTTTCTTTATTCAGGTGGTTGCATTTTTTTTCTTTTTTGAAAGTGCCTTTAGAAGGTTAAAAATAAGAAAGCAGTCTAAACAACAAAATTACGATGTCTGAGAGGTCTTCTCACTGCCCTGGCAGCCAGTCTTAATTAGAGTTCTGACGCAGTGCTCAGCTACTGTATGGCACGCCAGTATCATGGACAGCTTMGGGCAAAGTTTAAAATTACAGCCACAAAAAACGCACCAATGCTATTGCTGTCACCTGGAACACAGTGTTTACCTGGGAATCATTCACGGCCTCCCCTTATTTTCACTATACATAAGTTATTTTAAAAACATTACTCAAGAACATATCTGAAAACAAATAATGTCAGAATAAAAATCTTACCTACGGTCAGCTGGGTTTCACAGTTGCTCTAAACAGAGGAAGTAGGAGGCAGTGGCCTTTTACATGTAGAGGTTGTTTATTTAGCCCTTTTTAAAAGGTCTTGAACTCCCGAGGTTTAAGATTAAGTCCAATCCAAGTGTCTGCATGGAAAAATGGGCAGAAGAGAAGGCAAATAAGAGAGGCGAAGAATCCCAGCTGCTGGGTGGTGCTACTGTTCTGAGAGCATTTGAGCTATTTTCAGCATTAACAGCAGCCGGAGTTGTCTGCAAAGTGATGGAAATGCTTTCCCCGAATCCAGTCGCCACCCCCCACCCCGGGGGGGGGGGGGAGGGAAAAAAAAAACACAAACCAGGAAACCTACAACAACTCTGTTCATTGTGCAAATATTCATTTAAATTTTGAGGAAAATTGACAGCACTATTGAAAACGCACACAAAAACTTGAATTGGAAATCTTAAAGAAACACAGTGCCTCTCCATAACCCTCAAGTTTCCAAAATGATGTACCTGATCTGTTGAAAATAAGATGTTTGGGCTTATGGAGAAGGAAGACTTTTCTTCTGATATCTACTTGCTTACGTATTTAGGTCTCCGAACACTACGTCATGTAGAAATATCTGTTGTCAGCCTGTACTGAAGGCTGGGGACAAATGGTTTCTTTCCAGCACGCACCTAAATTTCCAGTTTCATCAACTATGCTATTTTTGAAAGCTACTGGGTTAAGCTGTTGACATTTCTTATCTGTTGGCAGGGACTGGGGACCATTCAGTGACATGATGCAGACGGATGTCGATCCCCTGCTTCTGCCCCATAGGCCAATGAAGAAATCATTCAGATTGGGTCAKTGGTGATGACTGGCAAACTTTGAACTTTCATTTTGTTTCTAGAATTAACGGCTAAGATCCAGAAGCTGCATTCATTCATTCATCAAACACTCATGGACCAAGCGCTTTGGAGCCCACTGTATGCCAGGCCATTCTGAGAATACCACGGTGGGCAGAATAAGCAGTATCATGGACAAGACTTCAGAGGCTTACAGCACACAACTAGGCAAGAATTAATAAACACAGAAGTTGTTATATTTTTCAGCCCCCTTTTCACCAGATGAGTCTATTCAAATCACAGCAGCTTAAGACTGAGATTTCTTTCCACCAAGACTAAAGGAAGGGATATGCATTGTCATTGCTTCATCGTGCCCTTTACTACTCCACTAAGAAGGAAAAGCGGCTACCCCACCAGGGGAACACATAAGAATTTTTGTAAAAGCCTTTACTTTATGTAGCTGAAATCCCTGAATCTTTTCCAATCCCTGCTTCCCATAACAAAGARGATGCTTAAGCAGCCAGAAACCCTGGCCTTACTCAGCAGGTGTAAGAAGCGTCCCTAGTCTTAACCCAGTAAATGTCATAATTAATTTTACGAGGATTGATTACTTACTGATGCTTATACCAAATCCAGTTCTTCCCTTACCATCAAAGGCAGTGAGCTGATTACAGAAAACCTTGACAACTATGCTGACGTGTAAAAACAGGAAAGCATGATTATTTCAAATACTACGTTAAAATAGTGAAATCCTTCAGCTCATTACATTTTTTTTTTACTAAAACCAGGTGTATATTTCAATTCAAGAAAGAACCACAACTTAAGTTTGAAATATCTAATTAGAATTTTAAAATAAAATTGACTTTGCTTAAAAATACACACCAGGTTTTTTTTTTTTTAAAAAAATCACTGTAGGATAATGCATTTCTCTGTTTATTTATTTTAAACACTCACTTTACCATGTCTCAAATACTTATAGGTATGGATATTAATTTAGAATACTCATCTTCCTTGTTGAATGGTAATTCTACTGGTAAAAATTGGAAGGCTAACCTCGGGAAGACACATTTTTAAAAAAAATTTGTGTATACTTTTTTCCTCCTTATAATAGTTTATAATAAAAAGGAAAATCCTTTGACAATTGATCTTCCTTGAGATGGATGTGATGAGAGGGATGTGGATGAGAATACCACAGTGTGCAGAATAACCAGTATCACAGATAAGGCTTCAAATGAATATTAACTATTAGACACTATGACAATTATTATTTTAAATTCTGGACTGCTTGTTCTCCATGCCTATCCTAATGGAAGCACATTGCCTCACTCTGGCCTACGTAGTCACATTCTGTCAAAATCTTTCCTTGATGAACTGGTTGTGGCCCTGCTAGCCACTTGTGCTCCTTGTTTAGGAAGACTTCTATCCTGCCCTGTGCCTCACTGACATCTCTTTTGTTCCATGAGAATCCTAACTTTCCAAACATCCAGTCCATAGCACCTTCCAACAGAAGAGTGCAACTTTGCTTTTAATCATATTTTAAAAGGTTATAGGATGTATGTTCTAACTTTTCTACTTATCCAACTGTTCTATTATCTTGCACAACATTGACATCTTAAGAATGATACTAATTATAGTAACGTTAATTATTTTGTTTATATTTTTCTTTCCTTCTCTCTTTTTTTTAAGTAAATAAATTCATTTAAAATAATTGTGAAAGGATTATATTGGAGCGGGCTTTTTTATATTGGAGAAATAATAAAAAGGGCTTTGGTATACCACCACTGTTGTATAAGGTGGGGACAATAACAGCACTAATCCACTGAGCTGCGGCATGGCTTATATAAATTTTGCACACAAAATGCTTGAGAAATGCCTGAGATGTAGCAAGCATCTGGTAAAAGTCATGTTATTATCACTTAAGCCTGGAGCTTTGCTTTCCAATATGGTGGCTGTATATTGCTAATGAGTTCCTAAAATGTGGCTAGTCAGAACTGAAATGTTATATAGGTATAGAATGCACACTAGACTTTAAGGGCAATATAAAAATGTATATAAATAATAATAATTGACATATCACATTAATTTTTACATGGATTACATGTTGAAGTGACAATATTTTGGACATATTGGGTTAAAAGATACTATGTTAAGATCAATTTGATTGTTTTTCTTTTTAAATATGACTACTAGAACATTTAAACATTACTTATTTGGCTCTCATTGTATTTCTGTTGGATAGGGCCATTTCGATCAGTAGTTATCAAACTGTAGCATCAGTCACCTAGAAGGTTTGTAAACTCATAAGTGGCTTTGACCCACATCCACAGTTTCTGATTCAGTAGGTCTGCAGAATGTCCTGAAATTTTGCATCTCTAACAAGTTCCCAGATAATTCTTGACCACACTTTGAGAACCCCCGGTCTTAACCCATGCTACTTTAAAAGTGGTCCATGGATTAAAGTTAATGTCATCACTTGAGGTCTTGTCAGAAAGGCAAAATCTCAGGCACCATCCAGACCTTCTGAACCACTATGTATGTTTAATAAAATACCAAGCTCTGTGCATGCATATTAAAAGCTGAGAAAAATTGATATAAAGTAGTCTGTCTTCCTTGGGTGCAAAAAAGACTTATCTGAAAAATGCTAGTATGCTAGACCTGCTCCTAGAGTTTTATTTAATCAATCTGAAGGAGTTGTAAGCATCTTATCTAAWATACTCCCAGGTGACCCCAATGTCTAAGTAAATACTGAGAATTTGTGGTATAGGACCCATCAGACCAGACGTTAAAGGGTCAAGAAACCAGTCACACCTTCTAGTGAGGGGAAGATATCCGTGAACTGGGAACACATGASTCATGGAGATGGCAGAGAAGTGGGGAACTACACAGCAATGAACAAGGAACCAGTGGTAGTAGTTGGGCAGGAAACACTCCATGAGGTATGATGGAGGTCCCAGATCCTTTATTTCTGGAATTCAAAGGAAGCTGGATAAAGCAGAGCACCTCCTCAGTCTCAGAGGAACAAGAATACTAAGCAAATTATCTGGGCAGAGATGAAGGCTCTGGAGAAGATAAGAACCTACTTGTGAGAAACCTGGTGTAAGTCAAGAGTGGACCCAGGGGCCATGTGAGAGTGTTGCAAACTCTGTATGTCAGGATTAGTTTCAGAGGATAGATAGATCAGAAATAATCTTTTAGATGGAAAAGAGAGACAAAAAGGAATGAAAACATTGAAAGACAGTTTACTGTTCATTTCCTTCTCTCTTTCCCTAATGCACAATAAGAATGGAAACAATTCTAAGTATTGGTCTAATTTAAGCAATTTATGCTAAATTTACAGATCCCAAATCATCCTAGTGGGTATTTATACCCCAAGAGGGGATCTTGTTAACCCAAATAACTCTTCAATTAGAACTAGTGAGAAAGAGCCATGTTTTGCAGGAGAGAGACCTTATTTTCCATGCAAAATAAGTGAGCACATCAGCTTTGAGTTGAATACCTCATCAGTTTGTCAAATGACTCCTCACTTTACACAGGTGGTCCCAGAACACTGTGTGTTGAGGAGCGCCTCATAAAATGAAATCTACACTGGAAGAGAAAATCTGGGTTCGTGCTCTTAATATTTAAAACATTCAGGGCTGGGGTTGTAGCTCAGTGGTAGAGCGCTTGCCTAGCATGTGTGAGGCACTGAGTTCGATCCTCAGCACCATTAAAAATAAACAAATAAATAAATTAAAAATTTCAACTCTGGGCTGGGGTGTAGTGGTAGAGCACATACCTAACATGCATGAGGCCCTGAGTTTAATCTCTGGCACCAAAACCAAAACTAAGCTAAATAAAATCCCAAAGGCTAAACTAAAACCCGAAACAAACAACAATAACAGAAAAATGACCATCGATAACTTTATTTCTCACATTTTTGGTTGATTGTTTCAGAAAACTTTTAAAGAAGGATAATAGTTTAAAGCAGTGTGTATCCAGAGTGACTGAATCCTGGTCCTATCATTTATGTGTGATCTTGGACCAATTATGGTCCCTGAGCCTCAGTTTTCTCCTCTGTAATAGGACCACCTTATTGGGTTGTTGTGATGATTAAAATTGTTATTTGGAAAGAACATTAAAAAAAATCTGGCATGTTATAAGTGCTATATACACATTGGTTAAATAATCAAAATACCTTTGAGCAATTGTAGTTATCTACATATAGAGGAATCTAGCAACTTTTTTTAATATACCATGATGATTTCCAGGATCCTTTTGTGTGCGTGATTTCTTGAATTCACATATTTTGAGTGTTTCTCTGAGTTGTTTAAAATTTTTTT